TGATGTCATTAGACCACACCCCTTCTCATTACAGAGATGCACATCACCTAATATGCTTAATTGGTAGTAGGCTTTCCAGCCTATACAGCTTGGAGTAAGACAACATGCATGAAGAGGATGATGTGGACAAAATACTCATTTGCCTAATACTTCTGCACTCCCTGTAATATTCTATATAAGATCACATTGTTGTATTGCTGCCCAGATCATACAGTTGTGCTGAGATCACAGTAAAAGGCGTTACTGTATAAACATAATGCACCGCTTTCTGTTATTGAGAACACTTCACTTCGTTTTCATAGCATATTTAATAATAACGACATACATGATCATCGTGTTGTGCTTTTCAGTATCCGAGTAACTGTAACTACTCGAGCTACTCTCCTCTTTATGACTCATGTCCAACATGGCTGCATCCCAGCAGCAGAAGCACAGTTTAGTAGATGTGTGCGTGGAGCCTAAATAGACTCTATAGTGTTGTTACATAAGAAAATCACTGATGTTTCGCTGATATATGGAAAGATCATTTTCACTCCAGCCACGTCACTTCAAGCTGCCAGCTGGCATCAGAAGAACAGTCGTAACTATGAACTCGAGATCCAGCCACAACAGTGATTCCCATCAATATTAAATGGACACTTTAACCCTTCCAATCCCTCGCTGATGGTCAGACCACAGCCTTAGAAACAAGCCCCACCGTGTGCATGCAATCTTAGATACGACCACCGTACAACCTGCAGACAGTGGCACACTCCATGCATGGACAGTGCTACGCTTAGACACCGGTGCAGCGAGGAGGAGGGTGACGAGAGGAAGAGTGCGAGAGGCGGTATTTAAACAGAGAGAGGGGAAAAAGGGAGAGAGCCAGTTAGTGACGTGTGAAGCACAGAGACACTGAATGAGACAGAGGACAGAGAGACACACTGATGCAAACACAAACATCTGATGCATATTTATGCAGCTTCGCTGCAAATATCACGACAAAGACGCTGTCTGTCAATGGTGGAGTAGATATCTGTGCTAAAGGGATCAGTGTATGTTGATAATGTGCAGATATTGTTTCTCCGTGCTTTCCTGACCTTTGAATCTAGGTGAAGACGGCTCTGTTACACGACTCAGAGTCACTGAGGACACAATCTGGTCACTAACGTCTCGGTGGTCAAAAACATTTCCCACCTTCGACCTTGATCTGATCCACTGGTAATATTAACTTTAATAATCACTGTTTAACTTCAGCGTGTTCCTGTTTACACACCAGGCCTCGTACTGGAGGTGAGCACCATCGCACTAACAAGCAGAAACGTTTCACTGTTATGGGAAGAATTATCATTGCTGTTGGGAACAAGAAGCACGCTGTGGGTCATCATCAGGACCCCAGGCAGGTCGGAGCATCACTGCTGTGGGTTCAAGCCTCACTTCAGTTATTCTTTGCCCGTCCATCCCACACAGCACATATCTGCATTATTCCACTCGCCTTGATGAATCTGCCACATTCCCACCTACTCATCTATTTGGGACTATGACAGAAGAAACAGGCCCCTGTGATTATACAGGGAGGATATAATGAGGCGTCTCAGCAGGATAACTGAAGAACAGCTTCAGACCTCGTGCTAGAACCACTGTTACACTGTCACCTTCATGGAGCTACGAATAACCACAGATCACCACACTCACTGGACTTCTGCACATGCCAACACTTAACCTAAATACTGCATGGCCGTACCTTCGACTGGACGTCGGCGTTGTGGTCGTTCTGGAGGAGCAGGGCTGCTGATTTGGTGTCGTCTTTACGAGCTGCGATGTGCAAGGCAGGCAGGCGCACCTTGCCTTTGGTATCATTTTCTAATAAGACAGACACAACCTGGTTGTGGCCCTGCTGGAGCGCGATGGCCAAAGGGGTGAAGCCATCCTAGAAGAAGGCAGACGGACGACTGGTTACATCTCATTTAAAATAAAAGTTTAAAATACACTGCTCAAGAAAATTAAAGACATTTAAACTTCAGTCTGTCCAGTTAGGAAGCAGAAGTGATTATGAGCCTGTTTCACCTGCTCCGGTGTAAATGACAAGTCAGTCCTACAAGAGGGAGGGTTGTGCAGGTGGTGACCATTTAGCTAATGTCCTCATCCAGGCACAGCAACACTGACATGGGTGAAGCACGATAACATTTGCTGTCACCAGACTCGCTCGTGTTAGTGTGAACCTGGTCTCATCTTTGAAGACGATGGGACACCAGCAGCCCACCTGCCAGTTCTTGTGTTTTCAGGTAAAATTCACACACAGAGTTTTAAACTAGCTGGATGCAGTGATGCGATGTGCTGATTAAGAGTTATGATTCTCATAAAGCAAACAAAGAATCTGTTGCTGTTACAGCCCGTGGCCGTAGCAAATCTGTATTAGCTGCTGTGCTGTGTCTCTTTCCTGTGTTTTAAGAATCTCTGCAGGTCCTTCCTCTAATGAAGAGCAGTGAGCAGCTGATTGGACCGTGGGGCGCGTGACTGGGTTCAAAAAGCCGCTCGGACAGCTGCTGGGAGAGAGACTCAGACCTGGACCTGGCTTCCAAATTCTTTGTGTTATTTGTGTATGTGTAGGCGTGCTGCTTGAGAGCCGCCAAACATGTGCAGTCCAGTGCCTGTGCGTGCACAGACTGAAGCTGAAGGGGTGAGCCGCCTTTTCTTTTGAACTGTTTGCTCCTGTTTCTGGGCTACGACGCGAGGGGTGGATATTGTCATTGGTGCGTTTCTTTCTTGTTTCTACTGTCATTATATTAATGCTGCTATCCTGTATATATTGTACTTACTATTGTTTGAGTACTTACGATTGTTTTTTTGTACTTTTTATATTTTACATTTATATTTATTATTGAAACTTGCACCAAGAGAGTGGCACTCCAATTTCGTTGTACTCTGTACAATGACAATAAAGGCTATTCTATTCTATTCTATTCTATTCTATTCTATTCTATTCTTAGGGTTTAGCTAGTTTTCTGTGGCGGGACTTCGTTGGTTTTGTTTATTATTTTGGCCGGGGTTCACCCCAACCAATCACAGCAGATGGCCCCGCCCCTCCCTGAGCCTGGTTCTGCTGCAGGTTTCTTCCTGTTAAAAGGGAGTTTTTCCTTCCCACAGTCACCAAAGTGCTGCTCACAGGGGGTCATGTGATTGTTGGGTTTTCTCTGTATGTGTTATTGTAGGGTCGACCTTACAGTATAAAGCACCTTGAGGCCACTGTTGTTGTGATGCTGTATAAATAAAATTATTTGAAATGTTTTGACCTGCATTCAAATTCATCTTCATTAAATGTATTGATCATGTATTTTGGCATCAGTGTGGAAAGAGCTGTATCAACGCTTGGTTCCACGAACACTTTGAAAGCCTAAGAGGAGACGTGTGAGTGTGATTCTCACTGAGAGACTTGAGGTTTCTTTCTTCATCTGGAGCAGCAGAAAGTTAAAAAGTGATCAAATCAGTGGAAACATCACATTAATGTGTTTAGATTACTGCATAATCTAAACACACTCGTCTTACCTCTGTAGCAATGCTCTGGTTGCCTCCATTCTCAAGCAGGTACCTCACCACATCCAGGTGATTTTCTTGGGCAGCCATGTACAAAGGAGTGAATCCATTCTGTTAACACAAAGAACCAAGCATATGACAAAACGGGTGAACACAAGGAACAGTTACACCACAGCTGAGAACCCCCTGACTACCTAACAGTGATGAGCGGCAGAGTAACTTTCAGGAGGATTAAACAGCCTCAGCGTCGAGGCTCACCTGAGACTGTGCGTTGATATCAGCACCACGTTTGCTCAGGATCTTCACCACGTCAGCCTGGCCAGCCAGAGAGGATATGTGGAGCGCAGTGTTTCCTTTCTGGAATCAAACACAAACCATAACAAGATTATTAGACAAATATCTGCATGTTTTTGTAAAGATAAGCTCAGAGTGCTCCTGACTGAATGCTGTTGTGTCCTGTACTAACACACAGTTATGTCTAGTCTGTCATGTGCACTGAGATACAAATAAGCACAGTATTTAATTCACTGCTGCTTCAGATCTGATTACTTCATGAATAAACATAAGCAGGTAAAAACCTATGAATATATCTGAGAGTAATCTGATCCTGATAACACAGCACGGACCACGGTGAACGATGACCTCACATCATGTGATCATCAGCTACACTGTAGCACTGACAGAGTTTAGAAACCATGTTTCCACTTTCTCTGCTGTCCAATCAATCACATGTTCACGAATCACATGTTCAC